CAGGAACAAGACAAGGATGTCCATGCTCACCACTATTATTCAACATAGTTTTGGAAGTTTTACCCACAGCAATCAGAGAAGAAAAAGAAATAAAAGGAATCCAAATTGGAAAAGAAGAAGTAAAACTGTCACTGTTTGCAGATGACATGATACTATACATAGAGAATCCTAAATATGCCACCAGAAAACTACTAGAGCTAATCAATGAATTTGGTAAAGCTTCAGGATACAAAATTAATGCACAGAAATCTCTTGCATTCCTATACACTAATGATGAAAAAATCTGAAAGAGAAATTAAGGAAACACTCCCATTTACTATTGCAACAAAAAGAATAAAATACCTAGGAATAAACCTACCTAGAGAGACAAAAGACCTGTATGCAGAAAACTATAAGACACTAATGAAAGAAATTAAAGATGATACCAACAGATGGAGAGATATACCATGTTCTTGGATTGGAAGAATCAATATTGTGAAAATGACTATACTACCCAAAGCAATCTACAGACTCAATGCAATCCTTATCAAATTACCAATGGCATCTTTTAAGGAACTAGAACAAAAAATTTCACAATTTGTATGGAAACACAAAAGACCCCGAATACCCATAGCAGTCTTAAGGGAAAGAAATCGAGCTGGAAGAATCAGGATCCCTGACTTCAGACTATACTACAAAGCTACAGTAATCAAGACAATATGGTACTGGCACAAAAACAGAAATATAGATCAGTGGAATAAGATAAAAAGCCCAGAGAAAAACCCACACACCTATGATCAACAACAAAGGAGGCGAGGATATACAATGGAGAAAAGACAGTCTCTTCAGTAAGTGGTGATGGGAAAACTGGACAGCTACATGTAAAAGAATGAAATGAGAACACTCCCTAACACCATACACAAAAATAAACTCAAAATGGATTCGAGACCTAAATGTAAGACCAGACACTATACAACTCTTAGAGGAAAACATAGGAAGAACACTCTTTGACATAAATCACAGCAAGATCTTTTATGATCCACCTCCTAGAGTAATGGAAATAAAAACAAAAATAAACAAATGGGACCTAATGAAACTTAAGAGCTTTTACATAGCAAAGGAAACCATAAACAAAACGAAAAGACAATCCTCAGAATGGGAGAAAATATTTGCACACGAATCATCAGACAAAGGATTAATCTCTAAAATATATAAATAACTCATGCAGCTCAATATTAAAAAAACAACCAACCTAATCCAAAAATTGGCAGAAGGCCTAAATAGACATTTCTCCAAAGAAGACATACAGGTGGCCAAGAGGCACATGAAAAGCTGCTCAACATCTCTCATTATTAGAGAAATGCAAATCAAAACTACAATGAGGTATCACCTCACACCATTTAGAATGGGCATCATCAGAAAATCTACAAACAACAAATGCCGGAGAGGGTGTGGAGAAAAGGGAACCCTCTTACACTGTTGGTGGGAATGTAAATTGATACAGCCACTATGGACAGCAGTATGGAGGTTCCTTAGAAAACTAAAAATAGAATTACCATATAACACAGCAATCCCACTACTGGGCATATACCCAGAGAAAACCATAATTCAAAAACACACATGCACCCCAATGTTCACTGCAGCACTATTTACAATAGCCAGGACATGGAAGCAACCTAAATGCCCATTGACAGGTGAATGAATAAAGAAGATGTGGTACATACATACAATGGAATATTACTCAGCCATAAAAAGGAATGAAATTGGATCATTTGTAGAGACATGGATGCATCTAGAGACTGTCATACAGAGTGGAGTAAGTCCAAAAGAGAAGAACAAGTATCATATATTAAAACATATATGTGGACCCTAGAAAAATGGTACAGATGAACCAGTTTGCGGGGCAGAAGTTGAGACACAGATGTAGAGAACAAAAGTATGGACACCAAGAGGGGAAAGCAGAGGGTGTGGCGGTGGTGGTGTGATGAACTGGGAGATTGGGACTGACACGTATACACTGATGTGTATAAAATGGATGACTAATAAGAACCTGCTGTATAAAAAATAAAATTTAATTTAAATAATTAATTAATCAATTAATTGATAAAAAACAACCAATTTCAAAAATGCAGTTTTGTGTTAAGATTCCTTATGATGGATATTCCATGCTGTATTTTGTCACACCCTTTCTGCTGGATATTTAGGTTATTTCCAGTTTTCTCCCATCATTAATAATGTTGAGTTTCTTGCTTGTAAACCTTTGGTTACGTCTTTGGTTGTTTCCCCCCACCCTCTACTCAGGATGAATTCCTAGAAGTGGAATTACACAATTTAAAGAAATACGCTTTCTTTTATGACTCACTGCATATTGCTAAAAAGGGTGTACATTTCAATCTTTTATAGACAGTTCATGACTGTGTCCTTTCCTTCCCCCCCCCAAAAAAAAAAAGAGGTTAAGAAATCTGAGGGCAATAGTCACAAAGGCCAATAATCTCTGATCGCTACAGAAAGTTAGTGAGATACTAACTATACTTCTGTCGTTTTATCTATACTCACTAACTATACTTCTGTTGTTTTATCTATCTACCTACCTACCAAATACTTACTTTATGTCCCCAGATTAAACCCAGAGTACAAAACGCGAGACACGTAGGGCTATTATTCCAAGGCTTGTAACCAAGAAAATCATTAAAACTTCACGATGCACTAAAGGGAAAACACACTCAAAAACGTTTATAATCTTAATCTCCCTTGAATCCCTCCTTTAGTCGTTTAAAGTAGACTTTCCAACATGCCACTTAAACAGGGCAGGAAGAAATGAAAACCTCCAGAGCAGTCTTTCCCCTGAAACGAATCTCAGGAAATACCTACTCAACAGAAGCCCTCGGCCTGTAGGTTAAAGGTGAAATATAGATTTTATATAAGAGACTTATACTGTGTAGCAGCCTTCAAATTTTTGTTTTAGTCTAGCAGTCCAGCTTCCACCCCTTAATTTCTGCTCCTGCCAAATCTTCACATCCACATAAATTACAGAAAATGTTTGTACATATGAGCTCAACAGGAACAGCATGGCAGCCCCCAGCCATGACTTACTTGCTGAAATGAAATCCCAAACCACAAGGCTGACTTCCCTCCCAAACGCACAATGCTGCTTTTTTCTGGAGCTCTCTCTGTTGTGAAAAGCAACAACTCAAGCTCAGAGTTTCCCTGTTTCATTGCCTTTACTTAGAAGAGCAGCAACAGAAACATAAACCCACAGCCTCTATTATGAGACAAAAACCTATTCCTTAATCTTTGTTAACAGATCTGATTTTTATAATGGCTCCAAAATGCCAAGAATTATCCTAGAGGCATATATGAATTTAACATTTCAATAACCTAAAGAAAAGTTATTTTGGAAATGAGAATTATCTAACCATTTCAGTACACAGGACACTTTAGATACCTTTACTTCTCTTCATGTATATTGATACGTACTAACCAAGTGTTCATTTTTTTATGCAAATCAAATGATTAGCGGGTGAATGTCAGGCCTGAGACTTTTTCAGATCAAATTCACTGCAGAAAAACTAATGAGATGAAGAACTTCAATCAGCTCAAAAATCTACATCATTTCACACTACATGCAAAATAGGACCATTAACTCCCCAAAATATGAGACTTAAGATGTGGTTTTCATTAGCCAAGGTTTCCAACAGTTCCTATCAATGAATATTTTGTCTATTTCTAATGTTTGCAGTAAAACACAGTTGCTCACACACTCTCCTAAAATCATCATAAAACCTGATGTAATAAGTTCAGGTAGAAAAGATGTGCCTAAGCAGTTTGCTCTGGTATTTAACAGCAATATCAACCATATTAAATTCTCTCTTTTGTTCCTTGTAATTACTAAGCAATTATGCACCAGACACAGCACTAGGCAATAAAGTGACAAAAAAGACCTTTTGGACTATGGTACCCAAATAACTACCTAATTACAAGTAAATGAGTAGTAAGTGCTATGAAAGATAATACTTAAGTAATTGTCTGTGAGGGCAATGTTAGTACAACTATAATGTCAAAGTTTACATTACCTAACTTAAAGATGGCTAAGTTTAGAATACCAAGAGTTTTCATCGTGATCCTACTGGACAAGAAAAATTCTTTTCACAAAATCATGTATAATGATTTATTCCCTCTAGTATCACAACTACCTTTGTCCAGATGTGAGCTTATTAACATAATACATTTGCACTCTAAGACACAACCTTAATGATGAGAATAACTAAAGAATTCTGGGCTGATGAAACAGGATCAGGAATATGCTTCAGTATATCACAAATCAATTTCTTCTGCCTATCATCTGACCCAAAACTTACATTGATAACATAGCAGAAGGATCCCTTTGAAAAAAAATCTCAAGATTTCATTAAAGAAGAGCAGAGGTTCAAAACAGCAAATGCTATTTAACATCACTTTCTTGAGTTCATTCCATAAAAATCAAAGAATAATATAAAAGAGTTAATAGAACCTATTTTTGACATGAAACCTCACAGGAGTTTAATTTTGTGAAACTATTCCATTTTTAACTATATTTTTCAGAATCCCTAGAGATTCTAATATATTGGCAACACGTCTTCTGTTTTAATGTTGCAAATCCAGTCACCCTGCAGATACCTAATTATTGAATGCCAGAATGAGGGAGGCTTGTGGATGCTTTTTGCTGTCACTGATGCCAAAAATATTTACACTTGAACAAATACTTGTTGAGTACTCAGGATAAACATCCATACAGTAGTTACGATATGCAAGAGTGATGTTACATTGTAATTCTGTCCTTGGAGGTCCACGCAGTGGAAACCACATGTATAAACAGGTTAACGGAGAAGTAAAAATGGATTCTTCTGATAATTCAATAATTAAATCACCTTATTTTAAATTCTACACTTTGGTATTCCAGCTGGGTTCTGGAATATTTAACAGTCACATTAGTCCCAAGTAGAGTAAGAAAGCAAAGAAATATAAATGCTAATTAAGGTTACCTTTGCACCAAAGATGACGAAAACATTTGTCCAGAGGCTGATTCAGAATCACAAGGCAGTATTTCAAACTCCCTATGGGGAAAAAAAGCAAAATAAAGTAAACAAGTGAACCAAGTCTTTCATTCCCCTCATATGAGTCTGGAATCATAATCTCTTAGACCAGATTTGCAGTCTACACAGAGCTAAATTTTAATCACAGCTAATTTCTTACACCTGAATTTTAAAAGATACCATAGGTTAATTGGATCTACTTTATTCAATATGTCCAACACATTACTACATTGCTGAGGAATTTATCATAAAAATAGTTTATCATAAAGACAATCGGGCATGCTTCTTTTTGTACAGGGCGTGCAGCATGAATTCTTATCCTTTTGATATATGTAACACTTTGATTCAAGTACCCTTCTACCTGGCTGGTCTGCTATCATCTTGACGTTGTTTGCCAAGCAGCGTGGGTCTAATGGGTGTGTACTTTCACATGCATTTTCATCCTCATTTATTCATATTCTCTCCTTCACTTTCATTCTCTCCCTCCACCCCGAGTTATCTTGAACTCTCCAATGTAAAACTTTGTTTCCACAAAATCCTACTAGTTCTTTTCATGACTCTTTTATTCCAAGTTTTTAGATGACACTCAAAAGACTAAGAAAGATGGAAAAAAGTTACTTCTCCAACAATCATTTCAAGCCTTTCATAACGTACTGTAAATAGTGCAAAGCAGAATGCAATCAGGCTGTTGAAAATCTGTCATTCAGCTCAGTCCAAGCACTCCATTTCATTTATGGAAAGAAACGTTTGTTTGGTGATAAGAAAAATTAACTTTCTTTTTTAAAGCAATCTCAGTGTTAGAAATGGAACAAGATAAGGAAATGAAAAGGGGGTGGCATCACCCACAGCAAACGTTATTAAGTGCCGATTATATACCAGGCACTAGGAGTGCAAAGAGGAATAGATTACAGGGTATCTGCGAGATAAGACATTTCTAATAAAGACGATTTATTCCACAATACAGTACAACACAAGGATATGAGGAGTGCTGGGTAACAGATAAATGAATGTGGCAGAAGTTCAAAGCCTAGAAAGTCAGTAAGGTCTGGGGTCATCCTAGAAATCTCTGTGATATGCAGATTTTTGAACTTGATCTTAAAAAGAGGTAGCTGGACAGAATAAAGCAAAGGGCATTCCAGACAAGGAAAGCAACACACAGGAAGCTGCTATCCTTTGCCAGTAGGACTGGTACCATGGAAAGTTTAGGAAGCAACACCCTAATGACGTGCACCTAAGACATGAATACTAACATCCCAGATTTTAGACATGCTGTTTAGGATGACAGAGGAATTTCAATTGAGGCACCACGAAGTATTTAGAGTGATAGAGAAATGAGTAGTAAAGGCAATTTATGTATATCGGGGGATCATCCATACAGAGATGATAGTCAAAGCACAGACTCAAGTTGAGATACTACAAAGAAAGAGCAGAGAGAGAAAAGAACAAATTACGAACACAAAATTGTCATGTTTTGGGCTTCCCTGGTGGCGCAGTGCTTGAGAGTCCGCCTGCCGATGCAGGAGACGCGGGTTCG